GGGTTTCACCATGTTGACCAGGATGGTCTTGATCTCTTGACCTCGTGATCCACCCGCCTCGGCCTCCCAAAGTGCTGGGATTACAGGCTTGAGCCACCGCGCCCGGCAATAAAGAATTTTTAAATGAAAGTATGTGCATTGTGTTTCTAGATATTATGCTCCTGCACACTTAACAGACTACAATAAGCATAAGATATGTACAATAAATACATTAAGATATTAATAGTGTAACCATAACTTTTTTTTTTTTTTTGAGACAAAAGTCTCACTCCGTTGCCCAGTCTGAGTGCAGTGGTTCAAACAGGGTTCACTGCAACTGCAAACTCCTGGGCTCAACGGATCCTCCTGCCTAAGCCTCCTTAGTAGCTGGGACTACAGGTGTGTGCCACCACCTCTGCCTAATTTTTTTATTATTTGTACAGACGGGATCTCCCTTTGTTGCCCAGGCTGATCCCCAATTTCTGGCCTCAAGCAATAGTCCTGCCTCAGTCTGCCAAAGTGCTGGGATTACAGGCATGAGCCAACACACTCAGCCAACATAACTTTTATACACACCGGAAAAGTTAAAAATTGTGTGATTTGCTTTATTGTGTTATTTTCTTTATTGCATGGTCTGGAACTGAACTTGCAATGTCTCCAAGGCATGTCTGTATGTTTACACTGGTAAGAAATGTCTTTGGACATATAATAATCTGTAAACTCAGAAGCTTGTACTACTATTCTCCAACTATTAATACCTACCCACTCTGATTTTATTTTATTTCTAAATGAGACAAATTACATTCAAAGCTATCCATTGTCCCCAATGACATAACACAGTGGAAATGGTTAAAAAGACTGCTAGAGCAACTGGTTTCCTGAAGACACAGGAGACTGGAAGGTGGGAATGCAATTTGTGGTAGTTCCAATAAGAAAATCAAAAGTTGGCCAGGTGTGGTGGCTCAGGCCTACAATCCCAGCACTTTGGGAGGCAGAGGTAGGCAGATCATCTGAGGTCAGGAGTTCGAGACCAGCTTGGCCAATATGGCGAAAACTCATCTCTTCTAAAAATACAAAAATTAGCCAGGCATGGTTGCCTGCACTTGTAAACCCAGCTACTTGGCAGGCTGAGGCAGGAGAATCTCTTGAACCTAGGAGATGGAGGTTGCAGTGAGCCGAGATCGCGCCATAGCACTCCAGCCTGGGCGACACAGTAAAACCCCGTCTAAAAAAAAAAAAGAAAAATCAAAAGTCAGAAAACGATCAGAAATTAGGTAACGGCACATGCAGTTACTTAACCTTCCCCCTTCTGTCTGATTTTTCCCTGCCTGAGACATGGCGCTGAGCCTTCCTGCGTCTGAGGTTCCCAGTATGCATTGCGCTGCTCTTGGCGGGAAAGGTGACCTCGACCAGGGGTCGAAAAGCCACTGTCGCGCCCTACGGGTGACCGTTGAAGGAAAGCGCATGCGCATTGGGCAGAGCGCGTGCGGCTTCGTGCAGCTCTTCTGCTCTCCGGCGTCCGTTCCTCAGACGTAATGTAATATTTATTAGCGTGTATGTATGTGTGTTTGTGAGGGTATTTTACTTTTTAATCTCTTTTTCTGTCACCTTCCCCCTACTTTTAAGTTTCTTAAGGTCTTAGTGGTAAAACATTTGCGGGAAAAATGGATACCAACTTGTCACCTGAGGTTCTTGAGATGAGGTTAAGACGGGCAGCGAATCCAGGCTTTCTCAGAATAACTTTAAACGTTTGCCTCTTCAGTCAACTCTTCCGGCTGAATTCTCTGATTAAGAAAAGTGAAATGGGGGCCAGGCACGGTGGTTCACGCCTGTAATCCCAGCAAGTTGGGAGGCTGAGGCAGGAGGCTCATTTGAGACCAGCCTGACCAACATGGCGAAACCCCGTCTCTACTAAAATAGAAAAAAATTAGCCGGAATTTGAGGCAGGAGAATCGCTTGAACCCCGGAGGTGGGGCTGCAGTGAGCTGAGAACGCGCCACTGCACTCCAGCCTGGTGACCAAGCAAGACTCCGTCCCCCCCAAAAAAAAGAAAAATAAAAAGAAATAGGCCGAGCGTGGTGGCTCACGCCTGAAATCCCAACACTTTGGGAGGCCGAGGCGAGTGGATCACGAGGTCAAGAGATCGAGACCATCCTGGTCAACATGGTGAAACCCCCGTCTCTACTAAAAATACAAAAATTAGCTGGGCATGGTGGTGCGTGCCTGTGATCCCAGCTACTCGGGAGGCTGAGGCAGGAGAATTGCCTGAACCCAGGAGGCGGAGGTTGCGGTGAGCCGAGATCGCGCCATTGCACTCCAGTCTGGGCAACAAGAGCGAAACTCTCTCTCAAAAAAAAAAAAAAGAAAGAAAGAAAGAAGAAAAAGAAATAAAGCTAAAAAAATGTTAGCGTGTTTGCCAGGGGCAGTTTTTCATTCCGAATGCCTACCTGTGCAATGTTATCCGTGTTTGAATATGTATAGTGAATAAAAATAGGAAGATTTTGCCTTAAAAAGCTCTCTTAAAGAGTTTCTTAATAACCCATTTAGTTGAGACTTGTTAGTCAAATGGCTTCAAATAGGGACCCTACTCAAAAGAGTTCTGCAATATCAGCCTCTACATTTTTGAAGATTCTGTTTTAATTAAAGAAATTCAAATTTGTTCACTTAAATTCTTTTGAATTTTATATGTGGTAAAGTGGAATGTTAGAGGAAAAAAAATGAGCTCTAAGTTAAAGCTTGTATTTGTGTCACAAGGTTGAATTAAAGAAAATACTTTATCAGAAGAAGATGGCCACTGCCCAGTTGCAAAGGACTTCCATGGTATGATTTCTTGTATTTTGGTAGATCTTAGTTTAGCTGATTTTATTGTTTCTTGAAGTCTCAGCTACTTTGTTGTTATATTTGGAAGTTAGGGCTCAACTATTTGAGGGTTTTATGATACCAGGAAACTGCATGTTTTAAGAAATGAAGATATTTGCTAAAGTATTTTGAATCAATTGAGAATTATATTAGATGTTTGCTGCATTGTATTAAATTGCTCATTCACATTTAATTTACATTAGGTATTAGTGAATACTGCTTTGTTGCTTTGATGAATTATTGTTCATAGCAGTCCACCTCCAGAACATGAATGTTCAATATGTAAGCAGAATAAAAATAAATCAATAAGAAAATGAGGCCAGGCACAGTGGCTCATGCCTGCAGTCCTAGCTATGAGGGTGGCTAAGGCAGGAGAATCACTTGAACCCAGTAAGGGAGGTTGCAGTGAGCCAAGATTGCACCACTGCACTCCAGCCTGGGAAACAGAATGAGACTCCATCTCAAAAAGAAAAGAAAATGAATGTAACCCAGAGACAAATATGAATTTGTCATCTTTGTATAGGATTTTGCATTACACTTAACCTCTGTTAAGCCTACTTGGTGACCAAAGAGAAAAATCAATGTTATCTAACCATGTGTTATGTATTTATAGACAGTTAATCTGCAAGGGGATTCTTAAGATTTTTAGGTACTTTTTGGGCTGAGGCCCAGGTGAGAGAATCACTTGAGCCCAAGAGTTTGAGATTAGCCTGGGTAGCATAGTGAGACCTCATCTCTCAAAAAAAAAAAACAAAAATTTTCTGGGCATGATGATGTGTGCCTATAGTCATAGCTACTTGGGAGGCTGAGGTGGGAGGATCGACTGAGCCCAAAAAAAAAAAAAAAAAAAAATTAGCCAGGCATGGTAGTGCATGCCTGTAGTCTCAGCAGGAGAATCATTTGGATCCTCCTCATTTTAGAGTTTGTGGGAGGATATATGAAATGCCATATGTGAAATGTCTAGAATAGGCAAATCTATAGGGACAGAAAGACTAGTGGCTGGGACATGGGATGGGATAAGGGACAGGGAGTCATTGCTAATTGGTATGGATTTCCTTTCTGGGGAGAAGAAAATGTTATAAAATTGATGGTGGTGATTGTTGCACACACACACCTCTGTGAATAAACTAAAAACACTTTACATGCATGTTCCAAAAAGGTGTTTTAAAAATACCAGCCACGATTAACATTTGTTTTATTCATCCTCAAAAGACTCGTCTTTGATATATTCAAATATAATCTGAATAATTATATAATTATTCTATACTTTTTTTTTTTTTTTT